TAATAATGATATATTCATTGATATAAGATGATGTGTTTGTGTAGGTGTTTGTCGTGTAGGCAAAGGGGATGGAGAAGAGTGGAGAGACGGTCTAAGGCTAAGCAGTCACAATACCATTTCAAATTAAGCAGATTAGCCACAGTCCCCAGTCCAGACTGTCTGTGTCAGAGGTGCTAGACACAGCTCTATACTACCTGCTAAGATCAGTGGCGAATCATTCATTTACCCAAGTGCCTTATTTCACATTGACTCGTTTACAATTCAAGGACCCAACTCCCTTTCAGCACCTTTTCAGCATCATCCAGACAGGTTGAACTGCCTTTGATGAGCAAGTTAATAATTTGACACTGAAAGACTGTGCTAGCTTCTACTACTCAGTATGTTCAGATTGTAAAACAGAATTGCTAAATATTCATCAGAGAGGATAGCGGGTGAAGTATCATGTCCTATTTGAACTCTTTATTTCTACTTCAATGCATCCAATCAAGAGATCTGATCGTGATTGAAGGTATCTTAGGAAAATTATGTGCATAAACACGGTCTATTGCACATTAGTTTCTCTGTGTCCCTCAGTGTCACTTGGACCATTGGTTTCACTATGCATTAAATGCAGTTTGAGCGTTTACAAGGACAGCCCCTCCATTGATGGGTTTCATTAGACTCGGAGTGCTGTGGCTGTATTGACTGTGTCCTTCCTGAGCACTGAGAGTGGAGGGGGACACAGGTGACAGTGTCCGGAAATGAAGGAGAATATTATGGAGTTGGGAGACTCTGCCCACTCACTGGAAAGGGCATTAGGATTTTACACCATGACATTATTAACTTCTCCAAAACAGGGTTTGTAAGGGCACATGGAGCCTTACTGTACAATTCAAACAGTTTAGTAGCTATAACTGCAGTCTTGAATTTATTTGTCTTAATTTCCTAGTAATTAATACAGGTGGTAAATGAAATGTTACAATGTATCTGGCTGGCCCTGATCGAGCTTGTCATGTCTTTTTCTTTTCCGTAGGGAGATGACACTGCGTTGTAATTCAGAGGGATACCATACAAGCTGACCTTACAGAACGCTACAACAGAAACGTAGCCACAGCTCAAGGTGAAGAGTTCTGACTTTTGTGGTCCTGGACGCAATGGAAGACTAGTGATTTTGTTGTTGTAAATACAGCACCCAGACAACAAGTCATAGTCTACCTCAGTGTCCAGAACTCATGCATCAATGACTCCTCAAGCTTTTAGTAGAGACATATTCGAAGAACGGTTAGGAAGAGGGGACTCTTATTTTGAAATTGTGGGATGCACTGTAAACTATTGTCATTTCCTATGGCTTATGTGTTCTTTGACATTTCTTCACAAATTCACATAATGTATGTCTATTACCATTAAAGACCACTCACCATCTTGATTGAGAGGCGTCTTTTATTCTTCTTTTAAAATATAATGGCTTTTGTCAGTTCTGTGTTTTGGCTACATCTGATGTTAAAATGGACACATTTCGGCCATAGATCCTTCAGTCATCAGATGCTGATGAAGGCTTAATGGCCAGCCGAAGTGGGTCCATTGTGAGTGTTGATATGGAATAAATACTCATACTTAATCCTCTTCGTTCCTATGTGGAATACAAGTTTTCCATGAGAGAGCGCCACTGCTGCCGATCTCCAGCCTTTTTGGGAATGGTATTCCATGACAGGCCATAGTCCTTCATCTCTTTCGCCACGGTTCTTCTCAAGGTTTTCTGTCTAAATTAATAAATACTCAGCATGAATAAATACTCAAAGATTAATACTAGTGAACTTGGTAAGAGTTGAGCACGTCTTATTGAACTTTATATATCTGATATTACCAGTGTGAGCTGTGAACTACCATCCATGATCAGTAATGGGATTTATACATCTTAACAGAAAATGCAAATGTATTGAAATATTTTATAAAATAATGGATTATGTGTTGTGATTTCTTATTCGATCAAGTCTTATGAAATGTTAGCATAGGTTCTTAACTTTTTCTTTAGTGTTACCAATCAGAAGGTTATTAACACTGTAATAACACAATGCACACACTCTGTTTACAGATGTCATTCCATAGCCCTTGAGTGGCAAATAGTAAGCAGTAAACCTTGAACAGGTAAGCCTGTATAATGTCCCAGCAGTATAGCCTTGACAATTTAGTGAAATTCTAGACCTCTATAGAATTATAAATTCATTCGCCGCAAGGAAAGAAGAATGTATTGGTGGAAATTAGTTGTATTTATTGCATTTACAGTAGTTACTGGATGCAGAGAGAGATGGACAGATATTAAATGGAAGCCTAATGACTCCAATTTGTAATAGCTTTTTCGTGGCTATGAATATGCATCACAGAGAGTAACAATGAGAGTGGGCGTTACCTTCAACTCTGAGATCAGTGTAGGATGTTTCCATGGTTACTACCATGGCAACCTTTACTAAAATACAGACATCGGCCTAGAACAAATCAGTATGGAATAGTCTGATTTCCATGGCCTTGAGGGTCATTGTTGGTGAAACTCGACAACCCTTTCACTGTGCTGTAGAAATGCATCTCTATGGAAAAGCGGCATGCTGTAGAAAGCTGGATAATTTGATGGTGCCTCTTAACTGAAATGGACAAACAACCAAAAGATAAAGATCTAACTGCTAAATGTTATAATAATCTCAGGCTATACTGCAGGAAAAATCATCTCCAAGGTCTTTTTGCAAAATGGAGTATTAAAATGGCCTGAAGTACAGTGAAAATATTATGTTTTATACAGTGAATTTTGAAATTAATCCATAATAGATGATACAAAGCTGAACTCAATGTTGGAGAAATACCTTTGGGATAATTTTAGGAGTAGGCCTCCTCTGTCTACATTTTTCTTAGGTCATTAATTGTGCCATAGGGTTAGGTTGAGTGGGTTTGAGACGGCTCAGCAGCAATAGCCTACTGAAATGACTTTCCAAGCATATATCCAATATTTCTGAGTTTCCAAATCAATTTCTTAAAGATCCAATGCAGCCACTTTTATCTCAATATCAAATCATTTCTGGGTAACAATTAAGAACCTTACTGTGATTGTTTTCAACAAAAATGGTCGAAACAAAAATTACTTCTAATAGCAAAGAGCAATTTCTCAAGCAATCATTTTGTAGACTGTCCGGGAGTGGTCTGAGTGTGAGGGGAAAAGTGAAAACTAGCTGTTGACTGCACTGGGCCTTTAATGAGCAAGGACATGATACTATACCCAAAACAAGACCTTTACATAAATTGATAGTGTTATTACTGGTTTATTTGAAATTTGCATTTATTTATTTGGGAAAGGTCATTTTTAACATGACTCCAGCTGGCTTTCTGCAGAAACATGACAAAACATGATCCATACAGTGCATTTGGAAAGTATTCAGACCTCTTGACTTTTTCTACATTTTGTTATGCTACAACCTTATTCTAAAAATTGATTGTTTTTTTCCTCATCAATCTACACACAATAACCCATAATGACAAAGCAAAAACTGGTTTTTAGACATTTTTGCAAATGTATAAAATACAAATATACTGAAATATCACATTTACATAAGTATTCAGACCCTTTACTCAGTACTTTGTTGAAGCACATTTGGCAGCGATTACAGCCTCGAGTCTTCTTGGGTATGACGCTACAAGCTTGGCACACCTGTATTTGGGGAGTTTCTCACATTCTTCTCTGCAGATCCTCTCAAGCTCTGTCAGGTTGGATGGGGAGCGTCGCTGCACAGCTATTGTCAGGTCTCTCCAGAGATGTTCGATCGGGTTCAAGTCCGAGAGTCCTTTAGGTGCCATCTGGCAAACTCCAAGCGGCTTTCATGTGCCTTTTACTGAGGAGTGGCTTCCGTCTGGCCACTCTACCATAAGGCCTGATTGGTAGAGTGCTGCAGAGATGGTTGTCCTTCTGGAAGGTTCTCCCATCTCCACAGAGGACCTCTGGATCTCTGTCAGAGTGACCATCAGGTTCTTGGTCACCTCCCTGACCAAGGCTCTTCTCCCCCGATTGCACAGTTTGGCCGGGCGGCCAGCTCTCGGAAGAGTCTTGGTGGTTCCAAACTTCTTCCATTTAAAAATTATGGAGGACACCGTGTTCTTGGGGACCTTCAATGCTGAAGAAAACAGCATGACATCACCAACAAAGCCAGAACAAGCGGCAATCTGTCTCATGGAATCTTCAAAATGAAGTATGAATGAAATCAAAGACTGTGGCGTTTTCTGTGTAGTATCAATCATTTATCAATCAAAAGTGGACTCCAATCAAGTTGTAGAAAAATCCCAAGGATGACCAATGGAAACAGGATGCACCTGAGCTAAATTTCGAGTCTCATAGCAAAGGGTCTGAATACTTATGTAAATAAGGTATTTCTGTTTTTTATTTGTAATACATTTGCAAAAATTTCTAAAAACCTGTTTTCGCTTTGTCATTATGGGGTATTGTGTGTAGATTGATGAGGAAAATGTTGTATTTAATCAATTTTAGAATAAGGCCGTAACGTAACAACGTGGAAAAAGGGAAGGTGTCTGAATACTTTCTGAATGCACTTTATATTCAATCACATAGATAACATAATATAACCATGTGGATATTGCAATAATAATAATAATGAGACTATGATTAACCATGTTTTAATATTTAAGGATAAACTGCCAAATAACCTACTGCATATTTGCTAGAGTACTCTTATTTCTCCTGTCTTATTCAAATGTAAAACAACCGGAGAAGATTCAGAATCATGGTTTGTTTGATTACAGTCTATGGATCATTGGACCAGAGCGATACAGTACAGCTACGACCAGAAGTGACTTTTCATAGCAGGCTAGTAGAGGATTTTAGCTAACCCTTTTCCTGACATTAACCTAATTATCCTAACCATGCTGCGTAAATTATCCCTGCTACGAAAAAGTCACTTCCGGTCATGGCTGGATACCCAAAGATTTGTTCAAACCTGTGCTACCAGGCATCTGCTAGTGTCTACTGAATGACATCACTTCATCCAAACATTCCCTGCAACTCAAGTTTCTCTGCTGGAGGTTAATAGATTGGAAGATGAAAAGTTAAAGTTTTCAGTAAGTGCAATATGTTATTTACGTATTAATTTCACACATTTGTTTTTGCATGCTTTATGTGTGCATGAGAGGTACGCGATAACTCATTTATGTGCAAAACAACAACAAAAAATGTTGTAGCTAACGTTAGCTAACTAGCTAGCTAAAACTTTTTTGGCCAAATACTGCTAGCTAACCATGGCGTTCTGTGAAGATGCTCAACCAAACTAGCTATTTTGGCAACTAACGTTACGGTGTATATGTATGTATTTTGTTGTTCTCATAAAACAAGGTTAGCCAGCTAGTTAGTTAGCAACAAAAGTTGCTTTCCTCGCTAGCTATCTAACTAGCTACCGAGGGCTATCATTAGATCTGGTCCATCGCGCGACGACAACGAATTGGCTGGTCATCTCCTAACAGCATCTTCAGTCTGAATGAGTGTTATTTTTGGCTGTAAATTACTTTTGTTTAGTGACTGGCATCCAGATAATACTGCCGTAACTCACCAAAGTAAAGATGTTGCCAGAGTGCTGGATAACCTTTTCCTCTGTGTGCACAGGGTGGTATACTTTTAAGCACTTTGGTCCACTCTCATCCGTCGGATCTCCACTAGTGCGTGCGCACCCGACGCTAGTGGTCGAACGTATTTTATTTTGGATAAATGGTACACTTTACACGCAGAGAAGGGTCAGAGAGGAAGATGCGAAGCGAGAGCTTTCACTCTCGCCAGAATATGTCCGAAAATAAGCCCAATGCGTTTGTATGGGCTTATTTTTTACCTAAACTTGTCGCCTGCCTTCCCATTATTAGGGCGGAGACATGAGCACCTCGTCATTATATACAGATCACTGGAAAAGTTCTCCAGTCAGCAGTCTGGCAACATCTTTACCTTTGGGTCTACTCTCTACAAATCGTTGATTGGGTTCGTCTATGCAATGGAGACGCAATGGACCAGAGCTATGCTATCCTGTGTGTAGCTAAAACAAAATAGCTAAAGCTAGCCTGCAGGCTGTGCGAGTTCCAACTCATAGTTTTTGTTTACTTGGCGGCCAAGACGTCAGACATCTTTTCCATGCTAATTAAAGTAATTAATGTATAAAAATCCCCAAAACAAATTCAGACTGATGACTAGCCAGTTACAGAAATTTACTAGATGCTTATTTTATTATGACCAGATAACAATGCCATCTATGCAGTTCCCATCATAGCATGGACTTCTCCTGAATGACAAACAGTTTGGCTTTGTCTATATAACTAGATAGAGCTAGGCCTATTTTATGTTATTTAACAATATATTTATTTGCCTCTTTCTACTAGCATTTTCTTTCTTTCACACATTTACTTTCTTTCCAACATGGATCACATTGAATGTTATCATATTTTCTGTATGAGGATATTTTTTTTTTTTCTTCTGTATGAGTGATGTTGGGTGTGGATATTTTGGCCTGTGTAGGATGTCCTGTCTAAGATGACTGAAATCACAAACCGGAGACCCCAAAGGGAGTCCTGGACCGCTGACTACTAGCCCAGCCTGCCAGCGATGTCTCCCAAAGTGCCTAGCCATGGCAGGGCGGAGGACACGGCGGTGCAGGTCGCTGTTCGAGTGCGCCCCCTGCTGCCCAAGGAGCTGCTGCACAGCCACGAGAGCTGCATGACGGCTGACCCTGAGCAGCGCAGGGTCACTCTGGGTCACGACCGACACTTCCACTGTGACTTCCTGTTTGAGGAGACCAGCTGCCAGGAGGAGGTGTACGCTGTGTGTGTCCAGCCCCTCATAGAGGCCTTCTTTCAGGGTTTCAACGCCACTGTCTTCGCCTATGGACAGACAGGCTCTGGCAAGACATACACTATCGGAGAGGCCAACATTTGTGAGTTTCTGGTTTCTTCCCCGCTACCTGCAATGTTTGGTGATTTCATCATTTTTTTCTATGGCTTTTGATTCCCATCAGAGGAGATGTACTAGCTTGTAGTGTAGTGGAGCGGAGAATAGATGCACGTCTTCTGGTGTGTGATATAGAAATGCTGATAGGCAGAGAGTTCACACCCATCCTGGAAGCCAACTGCACTTCCTACAATGCAGCTGCCACAGCCTGCGGGAACAGTCCATACCAGACAGGCTTGCCATCTGAGCTACTGGTGTGTGAGATGGCAAAGCTGTGTGGGTGGATTATGGTTATAACACAGAGCGTTTGTGTGTGATGAAGTTCTGTGGTGCATGTGTGTGTCAGTGGTACGTGTTCCTTCAATGAAAACAGTGCAAAGCTGCAGGCAATGATTTTATATACTGTACCTACATACTTATTTGTCCTCAGAGAGGTTACTAGGCTATACCATACAGGGTATATGAACCCAGTGTCTGTGTGTAGCTTCCTTTAGGGATGAGGAGCAGGGCATCATCCCCAGGGCTGTGGCTGAGGTCTTCAAGCTGCTGGATGAGAATGACCTCAGTGACTTCTCTGTCCGAGTGTCTTACCTGGAGGTGTACAAGGAGGACTTCAGGGACCTGCTGGAGGTGGAGACAGCCAGCAAGGACATCCACATCAGAGAGGATGACAAGGGCAACATTGGTATGGATGTTTTTTGTTATTATATATTTTTTTGTTTTTTTCAACAAATATTTATTGCAAACAAGCATCTCTTTGTTGTCAGGGATCTTTAAGTTCAACATGAGGGTAGGGAGTAGTCAAAGTCATGTGTGTTAGTTATTCATGTCTCTGTCTGTGCTCGTGTGTGCGCTTCTCTGCAGTGCTGTGCGGGGTGAAGGAGTGTGAGGTGGAGGGGCTGGACGAGGTGCTGAGCCTGCTGGAGTCTGGCAACACGGCCAGACACACGGGCGCCACCCAGATGAACCCCCACTCCAGCCGCTCACACACCATCTTCAGCGTGCACATGGACCAGCGCCGCGGCGGCTCCCGGGCCCATGGTAACACCACCACGGGCACCGGGCCTCACGTCCTCTCCTCTAAGTTCCACTTTGTGGACCTGGCGGGGTCGGAGAGGATCCTCCGCACAGGGAACACAGGGGAGAGGCTGAAGGAGAGCATCCAGATCAACAGTGGCCTGCTGGCCCTTGGGGAATGTCATAGGAGCCCTGGGAGACCCCAAAAGGAGAGGCACCCATATACCATACAGGGACTCCAAAATCACCAGGTATATAGTCCTCTAACTAACATTTGGGGACTCATAAAATGGTGTGCAGGATATATATATATATATTTTTTTTAAAGCAAATCATTTACCCCCTATTGACATGTGTATTTAAGTCTGACATTTAAATTCTGTATTCAGGATCTTGAAAGATTCTCTGGGAGGAAACGCCAAGACGCTGATGATTGCCTGCATCAGCCCCTCCTCTGCGGACTTTGACGAGAGCCTGAACACACTGAACTACGCCAAGCGGGCCCGCAACATCCAGAACCGGGCCACAGTAAACTGCCGAGGAGAGCCGGACCGCGTGGAGGGGCTGGAGCAGCAGATCCGGGCTCTCCGCAGGGCCCTTGAGAACCGTCAACGCTCAGAGACCCGTATCATCGCCCGCTCCGACCCAGACAGGCGGTCGCGCCCCGGAGAGGGAGAGATCATCAGACTGCAAGCCCAGAGTGCCCACTACAGGACCTGTACTGACACTGCATACAGGTGAGATGAAACGCCCACAAACTGCTCTAATTTTCTTAATAATCACTGGCAATAAGTTCAGTAGTTGACTAGAAGTAATATAATCAGTTTCATAAACAAAGTGCACTTTATTGTGAGGACTGATGTGTGTGTGGGTGTTGTGTTTGGCTAATGAGCTCAGGAGTAGTCTGAATATGTAAGTCTGTGTACCCATCCCCAGGTTGCTGCGTGAGCTGCAGGGTGAGGGGGCGCTGACTGCGGAGCAGGGCCTGAGGGTGAAGGACTGGCTGTGTTCTGTGGAGGAAGAACGGAGCGGCCTGACCACCGCCTCAGGACCTGACAGCGGCATCGAGAGCAGCTCCACCGAGGACACCGCCGCTCTGAGGAGGGGGAGGGCTGCCGTCAAGAACCAGGTCATACACAAATTAACAATCGCTACATCACTTACTACATATTCATAAAGCTCCTATTTATTTAAAGAAAATGTTTAACAAAATGTTAATCTTATCAACTAGAGGTTCATCCTAGGACTGAGCAATATATCGTATTTTAAGGTATACCGGTATGGATCCACAAACTGGTATGGATTTTTACAATGCTGTCTATAGCGATATGTTAATACAGTGCTAAATAAATGAACATTTCTATAAAGTGGACTACTTCACTGTCAATGTTTTCCTAGTATGATTTGAGTTTAAAGCAGTCAGAATGGAGAAAGCCCATTAAAACCACTTAAAATGAATTTGTTGTCGTAACTCACCGAAGTAAAGATGTTGCCAGAGTGCTGGATAACCGTTTCCTCTGTGTGCACAGGGTGGTATACTTTTAAGCACTTTGGTCCACTCTCATCCGTCGGATCTCCACTAGTGCATGCGTACCCGATGCTAGTGGTCAAAAGTATTTTCTTTTGGATAAATGATACCCTGCACATGCAGAGAAGGTTCAGAGAGGAAGAGGTGAAGAGAGAGGTTTCACTGCTCATAAAACATATTTAGAATGTTTATTTTTCAGAAACATAAAATACTGTCAAATACTGCCATACCGTCAAGAATGAGAAAATATTGTGATGTGATATTTTGGCCATATCACACAGCCCTAGTTCATCCTATCCTAAAAGCATTCAAACAACCTGATGGAGTTATGGTGGCAAGGCATCATTCATCTCACAGAACAATCCAGGAAGTGCTGTTGTGCTCTCTGACTCATACTGTATCTGTCATTGAACCCCACAGGAGGCAGAGACTGGTGGGGAGGAGTGGGGCCATGAGAGGGAGGAGAGTGTGGCTCAGCTCCAGGGCCAGGTCCAGCAGCTGGAGAGAGAGAACACAGACTTCCTGGCTGCGCTGGAGGACGCCATGGAGCAGTACAAACAGCAGGTCAGAACTACAAAGCATTTTGACTTCTTACTGACATTTTGGTGTTCAACATGACAGCACTGTAATCATCAAAGAATAAAGGCAAATACATTTCCAAATACATTTAGTCTATTTTCTTAGTGTCTGTCCTCACTTGCCTCCTAGATTTTAGTACTAGTCTCGGTAGATAATCATTGAGAAGATGATCAACATTGTTAATTGATTAAATGTTATATTCTCTCCCCCTCCCCTAGAGTGATAAGCTACAGGAGCAGCAGGACGTGATAGTGGAGCTGCAGTGTCTGCTCTCTGGGCCAGGTGTACTGGGGCTGGGATTACACCTGACACCACGCCCCCACACGGCCCCCCTGGGCTCCACACGCCACGCCCACAACGGACTCACCAACAAACGGGTAACTGACTGATCAGCACCTCTTAGTAGGGGAATGAAAACTGGCATGAAGTTCCACAGTCTCAACGTTAATCAGTAGTGTGTTCCACAGTGTATGTCGCTGTGTGCTATGAGAGTGTGACTGTGTTGGCTCTAGGTTGGTCCAGTGGACTGTGTGGAGAGCAGATCATTTGGTGACCAGGTCCAGTGTGGTTATGCTCAATCTTCTCATGACCACGAGGATCTAGGAGGGGGAGAGGTGAAGGACTCTGAGGAAGAGGACGCTTACGTCAACATGAGCCAAGACAGACGGAAGTATGGACAGAATATCACATCTTTATTTGAAACAGAGTGAGATCAAGCAGATTATATGATGCCCAAGCATCATTGACTGTCTAGGTTATTGATGGCTACTGTATGTATCTCTTAGACAGGTGAATCTGACTTGGACTAAGAGAGATGTCATGGGTGGATCAGCAGCTGTAGGGAGAGGTCTCCTGTCTCAGCTGCCTGCCTCTGAACAACTCTCCACCCGGCGACCATGTGAGTCCCACAGCAGGACAGAGCCTAATCAAATTCTAAATTAACTCATTCAAAGTTAATAAAATAATAATAATAATATGCCATTTAGCAGACGCTTTTATCCAAAGCGACTTACAGTCATGCGTGCATAATTTTTTTTTTTTTTGTGTATGGGTGGTCCCGGGGATCGAACCCACTACCTTGGCGTTACAAGCGCCGTGCTCTACCAGCTGAGCTACAGAGGACCACGGTTAACTCATGACTGTGGAAGCACTAACTTGTGTTTGCGTCCCCTTCTCTCTGTGCAGCCAACTCCAGTGTAGGGGAGAGCTCAGTGGGTCTGGGGTCAGAGTGGGGCCTGCTACAGGCCCAGCAGAAGATCAGAGAGCTGTCTGTCACCATCCGCATGAAGGAGGAGCTCATCAGAGAACTGGTCAAGACAGGTACATACAGTGCATTTGGAAAGTATTCAGACACCTTGACGTTAGTCTTATTCTAAAATTGATTACATTATTTATTTTCCTCATCAATCTACACACAATACCCCATAATGACAAAGCGAAAACAGTTTTTTTTGGCAAATGTGTATATATATATATATATATATATATATATATATATATATATATATATATATATATATATATACACACAGTGGGGGAAAAAAGTATTTAGTCAGCCACCAATTGTGCAAGTTCTCCCACTTAAAAAGATGAGAGAGGCCTGTAATTTTCATCATAGGTACACGTCAACTATGACAGACAAATTGAGAAAAAAAAAATCCTGAAAATCACATTGTAGGATTTTTTATGAATTTATTTGCAAATTATGGTGGAAAATAAGTATTTGTTCACCTACAAACAAGCAAGATTTCTGGCTCTCACAGACCTGTAACTTCTTCTTTAAGAGGCTCCTCTGTCCTCCACTCGTTACCTATATTAATGGCACCTGTTTGAACTTGTTATCAGTATAAAAGACACCTGTCCACAACCTCAAACAGTCACACTCCAAACTGCACTATGGCCAAGACCAAAGAGCTGTCAAAGGACACCAGAAACAAAATTGTAGACCTGCACCAGGCTGGGAAGACTGAATCTGCAATAGGTAAGCAGCTTGGTTTGAAGAAATCAACTGTGGGAGCAATTATTAGGAAATGGTAGACATACAAGACCACTGATAATCTCCCTCGATCTGGGGCTCCACGCAATATCTCACCCCGTGGGGTCAAAATGATCACAAGAACGGTGAGCAAAAATCCCAGAACCACACAGGGGGACCTAGTGAATGACCTGCAGAGAGCTGGGACCAAAGTAACAAAGCCTACCATCAGTAACACACTACGCCGCCAGGGACTCAAATCCTGCAGTGCAAGACGTGTCCCCCTGCTTAAGCCAGTACATGTCCAGGCCCGTCTGAAGTTTGCTAGAGTGCATTTGGATGATCCAGAAGAGGATTGGGAGAATGTCATATGGTCAGATGAAACCAAAATAGAACTTTTTGGTAAAAACTCAACTCGCCGTGTTTGGAGGACAAAGAATGCTGAGTTGCATCCAAAGAACACCATACCTACTGTGAAGCATGGGGGTGGAAACATCATGCTTTGGGGCTGTTTTTCTGCAAAGGGACCAGGACGACTGATCCGTGTAAAGGAAAGAATGAATGGGGCCATGTATCGTGAGATTTTGAGTGAAAACCTCCTTCCATCAGCAAGGGCATTGAAGATGAAACGTGGCTGGGTCTTTCAGCATGACAATGATCCCAAACACACCGCCCGGGCAATGAAGGAGTGGCTTCGTAAGAAGCATTTCAAGGTCCTGGAGTGGCCTAGCCAGTCTCCAGATCTCAACCCCATAGAAAATCTTTGGAGGGAGTTGAAAGTCTGTGTTGCCCAGCGACAGCCCCAAAACATCACTGCTCTAGAGGAGATCTGCATGGAGGAATGGGCCAAAATACCAGCAACAGTGTGTGAAAACCTTGTGAAGACTTACAGAAAACATTTGACCTGTGTCATTGCCAACAAAGGGTATATAACAAAGTATTGAGAAACTTTTGTTATTGACCAAATACTTATTTTCCACCATAATTTGCAAATAAATTCATTAAAAATCCTACAATGTGATTCTCTGGATTTTTTTTCCTCATTTTGTCTGTCATAGTTGACGTGTGCCTATGATGAAAATTACAGGCCTCTCTCATCTTTTTAAGTGGGAGAACTTGCACAATTGGTGGCTGACTAAATACTTTTTTTCCCCACTGTATATATATATATATATATATATAAGACACCTAAATGACTCTCAGACCATGAGAAACAAGATTCTCTGGTCTGATGAAACCAATCTTGAACTCTTTGGCCTGAATGCCAAGTGTCACGTCTGGAGGAAACCTGGCACCATTCCTATGGTGAAGCATGGTGGGGGCAGCATCATGCTGTGGGGACGTTTTTCAGTGGCAGGGACTGGGAGACTAGTCAGGATCGAGGTGAAGATGAACGGAGCAAAGTACAGAAAGATACTTAAATAATAAAAATAATAATAATACTTGATGAACCTACTCCAGAGCTCTCAGGACATCAGACTGGGTCGAAGGGTCACCTTCCAACAGGACAACGACCCTAAGCACACAGCCAAGACAATGCAGTAGTGGCTTCGGGACAAGTCTCTGAATGTCCTTGAGTGGCCCAGCCAGAGCCCAGACTTGAACCCGATTGAACATCTCTGGAGAGACCTGAAAATAGATGTGCAGCGACGCTCCCCATCCAACCTGACAGAGCTTTAGAGGATCTGCAGAGAAGAATGGGAGAAACTCCCCAAATACAGGTGTGCCAAGCTTGTAGCGCCATTCCCAAGAAGACTCGATGCTGTAATCGCTGCCAAAGGTGCTTCAACAAAGTACTGAGTAAAGGGTCTGAATACTTATGTAAATGTAATATTTCCGTTTTTTATTTTTAATACATTTGCAAAAATTTCTAAAAACCTGTTTTTGCTTTGTCATTATGGGGTATTGTGTGTAGATTGATGCAGAGAAAAAAAACAATTTAATCCATTTTAGAATAAGGCTGTAACGTAACAAAATGTGGGAAAAGTAAATGGGTCTGAATACTTTCCGAATGCACTGTACCCCTCTAAGACCTTTCCTTCCTGGCTTTCTATATGATGGCAATCACATGCCTGTTTTCTCCCCATAAACAATACGGAATGTACCATTGAGTGATGGGTCAGATGTTATCTTGCCTGTGTGTTAATGTAGGTAAGGACGCCCAGGCTCTGAACAGGCAGTACAGCCGTAAGATCTCTGCCCTGGAGGGGGAGGCTGAGCAGGCCAGGCAGGAGGTCCAGGAGGCCCAGAGACAGCTTCAGGACCTGGAGAAACAGGAGAAGGAGACCAGCGGTGTCACTGACAGGACCAGGGCCCAGGAGTGTCGCAGGAAGATAGCTGCAGCACAGAGCAAAGTACAGGTCTGTCTGTCTGAGTCAGACTCCTACACTAGTGTCTTCTCATAGTGCATGTTTGTACTTGCCTGTGTCGGTTTGTTCATATATATATATATGTGTGTGTGTGTTAGGTCCTGAGCCAGCGTCAGAGGGACACGGCGCGGCTGGCCTCGCTGTCTGCGCAGAGCGAGCGGCGTGTATCGGAGCTGGAGCGCAGCGTGCAGGGCATGAGGCAGCAGCAGGAGCAGCTGCAGAGACGTCTGCGACACGAGAGCCAACAGAAACGACGCCTGGAGACGGAGATGCAGCGACGCACGCACAGAGTCAAGGTGTAGCCCAGGAGAATGTAGAATACCTGCTAAGAAAAAGAGTGGAGCAGGACAATGCTGTGGTTTTTACAGATTGGCATTTGTGACATCAAAAGTCTCCAGTGATCACGTGACATCAACACATGACTCATTTGCATTCATAGTGTATTCCATACGCTCCACTGTGGCCTAAGTACAGAGTGGGCAGAATTCCAACATGTAACTAACACCTGAATTATGCACAGCACTATTTGAAGCAGCTATTTCCCCACATCAGTTATCTCAAATGAGAGAAGGACTAGGCAGTTGGATAGAAATGATATTGTTGCTAATAGAATATGATGCCTACCTATCTTGGTATCCCTATGTTTTTACTGACTCCTCCTTCCCATCCCTCCCTCCCTCCTTCCATCCCTCCCTCCCCAGGAGCTGGAGATAAAGAATGAACAGCAGCAGAAGATCCTGAGAATAAAGACGGAGGAGATTGCTGCCTTCCAGAGACAGAGACGCAGCGGCAGCAACGGCTCTGTCATCTCACTGGAGGAGCAGCTGGTGGGACATGGGGCTTCTACAATGCTTATGAAGCATTTATATAGCACATATAAACAGTTGATTAAGTATTTATACACCAGTTAAACAATAGGCATAGAATCTAAAAAGCATTTATACAGTCATTTATATAGATGTTACATACAAACCATGTTCATTCACCTCTATGCAGTAGTTCTACACCATTTATAAAGTAATTCTACAGCCTTTTAAAGTATTTTTTTACCATGTGGTTTTACACATGGTTTCCTCTATATACACAGTATGAGCCAAGGACATAAACAACTCAAAACTAGCCTGGCCGGGAGATCAGCTGGCTACATATTTAGCCTGTCATCATGTTTGTTTTTTGTGCAATATGGGCTTTTTCCTTTGTTTCTCGTGAAAGCCAGTTTTCCAAAAGACATGTTTCAACATCCAAAGGCGTTATTTCCGTTGTTAAGAGTGAAAGATGAAAAATTCCTTGTATCTCCCAGAAACTATATGCAGCTGATTTTCCCTGTGTGTGGAGAGAGTCTCAAGTCTGTCATTCACTGATGTGCCTGGACAGGCCCAGAGCTCACACTGACACCATCCCTATGGTGAAGCATGGTGGTGGCAGCATCATGCTGTGGGGGTGTTTTTCAGCTCCAGGGACTGGGAGACTAGTCGGGATCGAGGGAAAGATGAACGGAGCAAAGTACAGAGAGATCCTGCTCTCAGGACCTCCGACTGGGGCGAAGGTTCACCTTCCAACTGGACACAAAACCTAAACATCCAAAGGCTTTATTTCCACTGTTAAGAGTGAAAGATGAAAAATGCCTCGTATCCCGCAGAAACTATATGCAGCTGATTTTCCCTTTGTGTTCTTATATCTCAGACTTTCACAGTGCACATTGAGTGGAGAGAGTCTCAAGTCTGTCATTCACTGATGTGCCTGGACAGGCCCAGAGCAATGACCCTCACGCTGACACTCTCACACTGGACCAGCGTGACGTATAGCCACCATACTGAACTCTGAGAAAGAAGCCTGTTTTAGTGGGTCTCTTAGCATGGGCTTTTTAATGAAGAGAGTAAGAGACCTGGCACTCTATGTGATGGAGATAGGTGCGATATGGATCAATACACTGAGCGATGGGCAATCAGATTGTTTATTTCTCAGCTGCCGTCAGTTATAGATTTACAATGTTGTGAGACGTAGGTGTTTAATTATTTCTTGTTATTGAACGTTCTTCAGATGTGCCCCTTTGTGTGCAATGTGTGTTACTTCTGAAATATTGAGTTCCTTTGTACGGTACTACCGTGTTTCTTTATGGATCCAAATGAAGTGTGTCTGCATGTGTTCCTGTGTGAGCAGAAGATTGAGGAGCAGAAGCGCTGGCTGGATGAGGAGATGGAGAGTGTTCTGGAGCAGAGGAAAGGACTGGAGGACCTGGAGGGAGAGCTGACCAAGAGGGAACAGATCCTAGCTAAGAAGGAGGCCCTGTTGCAGGAGCGCAGTGGCCTGGAGACCAAGAGACTCCGCTCCAGTCAGGTACACACATTAAACAGGCCCCACTGCAGGAGTGTGACAGAGATTCCAGTTAGGTTGCCTACACACTCCCAAACACACACTCAAAGTGGCCCTACGGGTAAAGTGGTTTGCTGGGCTCATTTCACAGTCAATTTAATGATTTGCTGTACTTCTATTTGATAAATCGTTCATAAATCTAGTGTGGCCGAATATATATATATATATATATATATATATATATATATATATATATATATATATATATATATATATATATATATATGTATATATATATGTCTTTCCTTCAACTGTAGTATATCTCTTCTCTCCACGTAGGCCCTCAGTAAGGACCTGGTGACGCTGTCTGGCCGTATCGAGTCTCTGGAGAGGGAGCTGAGTGAGAGGAACGGCCTGCTCCGCAGCAGCAGTGCCCAGGACTCCCAGCAGATCCGCCAGGAGATCAACAACCTGCGCCTGGAGAAGGACACACTGCTCAAACAGAGGGTGGAGCTGGATGACAAGCTACGGCAGGGCAGCCTGCTCTCACCAGAGGTCAGAGACTCCACAGGCTTACAGAAGCTTCTAACACTGCCCCAACACTTCTTTATACACGTAGTATTTGTAGTTTCTGTAGTTTGGTGTGTTAGGCGCGGAGTGTCAATGCTGTCGGTGCCCCTGTAGTTTGGTATATTGTCTGTGCCTGTATTTCCCCCCCATTTCAACCCCTGTGGTTCTCTTTGTTCTGTCCCCAGGAGGAGCGGACTGTGTTCCAGCTGGACGAGGCCATCGAGGCTCTGGATGCGGCTATAGAGTATAAGAACGAGGCCATAACCCAGAGACAGAGGCAGCTGAGGGCCTCTGCCAGCATGCTCTCCCAATGGGAGATGAACCTCATGGCCAAACTCAGCTACCTGTCTGCCTCAGAGACCCGTGCGCTGCTCTGCAAGTACTTTGACAAGGTCTGTCTGTGTGGCCCTCTTCCTTGCTGTTGTGGTTTTCACTGTCGGCTCAAATACAGTGCCGCATAGCCTATGAGTACACAGCAAATCTCCATTATGATTAAAAGCAGCATGGAAATGGAGTGAGAGAGAAAGATGGGGAATGTAAATTGTAAAATTGCAGCTGACTGACTGATAATGTTAATTGTGTGTGTAGGTGGTGTCGCTGCGTGAGGAGGAGCGTAAGCTGCAGCTGGCCCTGGCAGATCTGGAGATGCGTGGTGAGGAGCAGCAGCAGCTGGTGCAGTGGCTGGAGAACGCTCTGGACCGCACGCAGCTCGACACGGACCGCAGGCTCACACAGCAGCAGAAGGAGCATGAGAGGAGTGTACAGCTACTGCTGCAGCAGTGCCGAGGTGGGCCTCACACAAATAAATACACACACCTGTAGGATTTAGGTAGAACATGTCAAAATATATACAACATGTTTTGTTTTCAACAAAGTCACATTTGCCATTATTGCTCCACCTCAAGACAACAAAATGAGTCACAGGCACAACTACGCGTTTCTCTATTTATTTATTTATTTTTACATAATGGATTTTTCCAATTGTGTTTATTTTTTCTCCATTCAGTTTGCATGTCTTTACCCCCATTCAATCCTCCCACACACTCCGTATGATAACAGCCACCAGGCCCATTATCTGCAGTGCAGTGTTCCTCAGGTATTGTTGTGGTCCCCCTAATGTTTACTTCCCTACAGAGCAAATTGACGAGGGCCTGGCAGGGAGGCAGAGACAGTACGAAGGCTGGATCCATAACCTCCGTAAAGAGCTCAACCACTACAAGGCTGCCAACCTGGAACTGAGCAACAGGCTTAGGGAGCTGTGTGGCAACGCCAGCCAACCCATGGAGCAGGGAAAGGGTACTGTATGGCTCATTTTGGATAGGGGCATACTATTGTCATTTTTTTCAAAGCGCCATAGTCAGTGGGTAAGGTACATTAATGTAACATAATGTTGGTATAATAAGATAACAGAAGGTATGGGTATCAAAAAACGTAATCCAGTCTCTGACTTCTGTTAAAAGAATCCTCATCTGCTCAAATACTCAAGACATATGCTCTCTCTATCTCTGATTTTTTTTTGTAAAATGCGCATCTGTCAGGGAATAATAAGTATTGAAGATTTAGTGTTTGTGACTGAGTATTCTGTCTCTGTCCTAGTCTGTCCTGTTCAGTGCTGGGCTGTGAGGCATGTGAATATTTAGTACTTTGTATGTTGCGTTGCAGTTCCGGTCTTTGAGGGAAGAACAGCAGGCAGTGGCAGTGTGGAGAGGCTGAGCCGAGGCCCAGATGACAGCCGTAGGGGAGGGCCAGGGGAGCCAGAGAGACCAACCAGATCCCGGGAGGAAATAAGGGAGCTGGTCAACGCCCCTCTCCCTGCCACATGGAGGCGCTCCTCCCTCCCCACCGAGGACCCCTGCGGCATGGAGGAGCTACAGCAGCGGGTGGCCGTGGAGACGTCTGTAAACCGGGTGGTTCAGACAGGCACGGGGCCTTGGAGTGGGACAACATCTCTGCCATTTTCCAAATCACGCAGAGAGTCCCGCCGATCCAGCCTCAACACCGGACCACTGATCTCAAATAATTCCATAATTGATGTGAGGAAAAATCCTGTTTAAATGCACAAGGACCTCATGGCAGAATCAAGTTTAAATGTCAAAGGACTTAATGGCAGGACCCTGTTTAAAATGCAACAGAATCAAGTTAAATTCAACGTGTGTCAAAATGGGCTTGTTTTCATACTGTTACAATTATGTGTTTGTTTTATAACCGGTAAGTATCTTTTGTATTCATCTGTTCTTATTTTTTTATATTTGTAGTTTTATAAATAAATGTTGGAAGAATGCTCTTCATTTTTTATATCAAGCACTTTTCTTTTCCACCATGTAATTCATCTCCGCTTGTACAATAATAGACGTCGTCATCAAAAACAGGTTATACTGTTCACTGTTGCTATTTTGTCATCAATACCCATTTCTGTATTTGAAATAAAATAAGATTCTTGCTTCTGTAATCTCTGACTGACTAATATGTTGTAAAGGCATAATATAAAACATATTGAAAGTCGTGGTTTGGTGGCTCAGATGCTATCTTAAATGCATAATGCCATACATTTGGACATCAATCAAATGTATTTTATAAAGCCCTTTTTACATCAGCAGTAGTCACAAGTGCTATACAGATACCCAGCTTAAAACCCCAAAGAGCAAGCATTGCAGATGCAGAAGCACAGTGGCTAGGGAAAAACTCCCTAGAAGGGCAGAACCTAGAGAGGAACCAGGCTCTGAGGGGTGGCCAGTCATAGAATTAGAAAACTAGAATGGGCATGAAACTTAATGTGATGGGATAAAGATCAACCATTTTGGTCAGGGAGTTGGTGAACCATGGTTTGACAGTGCTGTGATCAAATATTGTGTAAAATAATGAATTTGAATAATTTATCTGCAGTGTATGTTTGTTAGTGAGCTAGCCAGACAGCTTTAGAGGATTGATTCCATACATCTTTCAATTAACTGCAAACATTACATTCAAACAATGCAGTCAATCCGCAGCCATACACTGGCTGAAATCAGTTGATTACCAGTTGTAAATGCAACAAGTACTGATATTGTATCATATAATAGCACTCACGGCTTTCCAAAAAAACGAAAATGTAGACATTTATGGTCTGTTTACATATACACTACATGACCAACAGTATGTGGACACCTGCTCATCGAACATCTCATTCTAAAATCATGGGCATTAGTCTGGAGTTGGTCCCCCGTTTGCTGCTATAACAGCCTCCACTCTTCTGGGATGGCTAGATGTTGGAACATTGCTGCAGGGACTTGCTTCCATTCAGCCACGAGCATTAGTGAGGTTGGGCGATGAGGTTGGGCGATTAGGTCTGGCTCACAGTCAGTATTCCAATTCATCCCAAAGGTGTTCGATGGGGTTGAGGTCAGGGCTCTGTGCAGGCCAGTCAAGTTCTTCCACACTGATATCGACAAACCATTTCTGTATGGACCTCGCTTTGTGCACGGGGGCATTGTCATGCTGAAACAGGAAAGGGCCTTCCCCAAACTGTTGCCACAAAGTTGGAAGCACAGAATCGTCTAGAATGTAATTGTATGCTGTAGCGTTAAGATTTCCCTTCACTGGAACTAAGGGGCCTAGCCCGAACCATGAAAAACAGCCCCAGACCATTATGTCTCCTCCACCAAACTTGGGGCAGGTGGCGTTCTCCTGGCATCGGCCAAACCCAGATTTGTCCGTCTGACTGCCAGATGGTGAAGCCTGATTCATCACTCCAGAGAACACGTTTCCACTGCTCCAGAGTTCAATGGCGGCAAGCTTTACACCACTCCAGCCGATGCTTGGCATTGTGCATGGTGATCTTAGGCTTATGTGCGTCTGCTCAACCATGGAAACCCATTTCATTAAGCTCCCGACAAACAGTTATTGTGCTGACGTTGCTTCCAGAGGCAGTTTGGAACTTGGAATTGAGTGTTGCAACTGAGGACATGATTTATACGCACTTCAGCAGTCGGCGGTCCCATTCTGTGAGTTTGTGTGGCCTACCACTTTGCGGCTGAGCTGTTGTTGCTCTAAGACGTTTCCACTTAACAATAACAGCACTTACAGTTGACAGGGGCAGCTCGAGCAGGGCAGAAATTTTACAAACTGACTTGTTGGAAAGGTGGCATCCTATAATGGTACCACGTTGAAAGTCACTGAGCTCTTCAGTAAGGCCATTCTATTGCCAGTGTTTGTCTATGGAGATTGCATGGCTGTGTGCTCCATTGTATACACCTGTCAGCAATGGGTGTGGCTGAATAGCCAAATCCACTAATTTGAAGAGGTGTCCACATACTTCTGTATATATAGTGTATTTTAGAGGCTATTTATTCAGAAAATTGGTATATAAGCTATTTATAATTATGACTATCTTAGGTTGACAATAATTATATTACACCATTTCTGATATATCACATGCCTTTTATTTTCCTGCATAAGTAAAATCAGGATTATGCCTCTACTGCCATTCATTCCAATTAGACTGGTTTCACCACATTCTGGAACTTTGAGGATTTATGACATAGCCCCTCTAGTAATTAAATAGGCTCTCTATGTGGCCAGTCCTCTTATGGCTGTGCGGGGTGGGGATTATAAGAAGAATACACTGTACACAGATAGGACAGACTGACCCTATGCCCCCGCACATAGTCTATAAATGTGTTCTGCTGCTACAGAGGGCACACAATGATTTATAATACTGATCCAACGATCCTGGATAAGACATTGATCAATTTAAGGGGTGAAAAAAAGAACGAGCTTGCCAGGAGTCGAACCTAGAATCTTCTGATCCGTAGTCAGACGCGTTATCCATTGCGCCACAAGCCCGCTTCTGGTAAAACACTCCAAAATAGCTATTTTGTAATTGGTCAATTCCTGGTAACTTCTTGGTAGTGAAATTGTATGTGATTGGCTGGAATAAAGCTAGCAGCATGGTCAATCCAGTGTATGCAATAGCCATAGTGCGTTTACTGAGATGCGGCCTCTGCAGACGTCAGGGCATTCATACCTCTTGCACTTCGTTGAGCAGAGCAGATCTGTGAAGGACGTTGTCAAGGAAGGGTTTGTGTATATACAGGACGTACCGCCCCCACCTACCGTCAACCAATCATCTCATTGCGGAGCTATATGGAGCCCTCAGCATTGTTACAACATTTGAGAGGCTGTGTGGTACAGACAGGGGCCTGTTGCACAAAACTAGGATAAGGGATTAAGCCAGGATATCTTGGTGATCCTGGCTCAATTGATCCGTAATCCGGTTGCACTAAAGATGGATAGGGGGCAGGAGGATATGTTATGGTATAAATTACCATGGAGATTTATTCTGTGGAGCTAGCCTGCTCCAGACCAGGCTAAATTCCAGGATCTATTTAATCTCATCCCTAATGTCAGTCAGCAGTCACCACAAATGGAAACCAATAGTTATTTCACTGCTCACTATACATTGTTATCACATATAACTAGACCCACTGTCATTATTTAAACGTTTGTGATCATTAATTTCAATGATTTTGGATAAAAAATGATTTTTAGATGATGTTGCTATTATTAGATAATTTACAGTTTCCCATAGACTATAAGGCTATATATAAAATGATAGAATATTAGGGCCACAGAGGGGAAAAAAAACACAAGTCATAATATTGTAACCAGTTGTTTTAAAGGAGGACAGTTGTTAAAATGACAGATGTGGGGCATTTCGTGAAATTGTACTTCAGTATGGTTTCATAAACAAAGACATGCTGATGTGCCAGAATATTAAGTATCACATTGTCATAAGTATCAAAACTGTAAAAACAATATGTAGCTTTTCTGCAGAAAGAACCAGCCTCATAAATTTATGACTTTATCCTTTTTCTTCAGTGTGGCCCTAGTACTCTGTCATATAAACAAATACACATTCCATATGAATATAAAAACACAATGTGTAACATTATGTTCCTTTATTGAATAAGGACAAAACAAAGCAGGTAAACCATCAGCTCCTTTCGAAACTGAAGTCACAGTGACTCTACAAGATGGAAAGCACAGAATCCAAGCATATTATACAAAATGATACATACACATTCAAAGGTCTGTATATAACACACCCTGCATGTCTGCACACTAAAATAAATGCAGGACAAATCCATACACATCAACTGAACAGACAAATGAATGGATGCAGTAGCCTCCCTGCAGCCTTGTATTACACACAGTATACCGCACAAACATCATAAGAGGCCAAATTCGTAAAAAAACGAACCCAAAAAAACCCAAATTCCTCTGCCACCGCAGGACATATTTAACCAAAATTGAAAGCACACATACTAACTAAAATAATTCAACACATATTGGTCCCTCAGCAGCCGACCACTGTCGTCATCAGGGAAGATTGCCGGATTGTCCCAGTCCATGGCTGGTGGCACTCTGGGGGCCCTCTCCTTCCTCAGGCAGGCCACATTGTGGAGGACAGCACAAGCCACAGTAATATCACATGCCCTAACAGGGCTGACCCTTAATTTGTGAAGGCAGTGAAAGCGTGCCTTCAGGAGGCCAAAGGTCATTTCAACTCTGGCCCTGGTCCTGGCATGGGCATGGTTGTAGGCCTGCTGTGCTTCCTGGGGGTCTATGAAAGGTGTCAGGAGAAAAGGCTGGCAGCCATACCCCCTGTCTCCCAGCAACACACCAGAGAATTCACCTGTCAACACAAAATCTCATCATTACTACCTCAAACACAGTGATATTCTTGACACAGCCATGATGGTTATAAATAGGGGTTGTGTGGCTTACCTTGTGATAGGCACTGATAGATTTCAGAGGCCCGAAAGATTCTGGAGTCATGGACTGAGCCAGGCCATTTTGCCACAACATTGCTGATCACACAGTCAGCATTGCAGACCATCTGAAATCATAAGATGAGGAATATTACACCAATCAATGCACATCACTGGCAATGCAGAGTGTTCGTCAATGGACAATATCAAAAAGTTATGTTCACCTGAACATTAATGCTGTGAAAGGATTTCCTATTCACAAAATCGGCCTCATGGGCACCTGAGGGGGCTTTTATCCTTATGTGTGTGCAGTCCACTGCACCAATGACATTGGGGAAACCTGTCACACAAAGTAATGAGTATCCTACTATGTGTTAACAGTTGTCCTGTAATTTGTAGATCCTCTTACCTGCAATCCTATAGAACTCCTCTGATGTCACAGAGTCTTCTGTGGCCAGGGAAGGAGATGAAGACATCTGCTAATGCTTTGATAGCCAGACACACACTCCTTATTGTGCGGCAAATTGTGGCCTTGTTCAGCTGTTCTGCATCCCCCACTGAGTACAGGAAGGCTCCACTAGCAAAAAAGCGCAAGGCCACACAAACCATTTGCTCCACACTCAGTGCATGGCTCCGTGCAGTGCGGTGCTTAATCCTGGGACCCAGTAGTCTGCATAGATACCTGATGCCAT